CGGGTGGTCACTGGCCTGGAGTGGCAGCAGCTGAGGGCTCCTCTCCACTCCCAGCAGCTGCCTGCCGGTGATGGGGGCAGAGAGGAGCCCTCAGCTGGCTGCTGACCAAAAGGAGCAAGCAGTGGGCTTGGGGGGAGAGGTCAGGAGGTGGAGGGGAGCCGGCTGGTGGGGCTGGGGGCAGAGAGAAGACCTTCCCTCTTATCCCATGGCAGCTTACCATGGTTGATGTATTGAGGTCAACGGAGTGCAAATGTACATAAGAATGGCATACTGGGTCAGACCAAATGTCCATCTAGCCCAGTATCCTGTCTTCCAACTGTGACCACTGCCAGATGCCCCAGAGGGAATGAACAGAACTGGTACTCATCAAGTGATCCATTCCCTGTCACCCATTCCCAGCTTCTGACAAACAGAGGCTAGGGACACCATCCCTGCCCATCCTGGCTAATAGCCATTGATGGACCTATCCTGAAGGAACTTATCTAGTTCTTTTTTGAACCCTGTTATAGTCTCGACCTTCGCAACATCCTCTGTCAGAGTTCCACAGGTTGATTGTGCGTTGTGTGAAAAAATACTTCCTTTTGTTTGTTTTAAACCTACTGCCTATTAATTTCATTTGTTCTTGTTATGAGAAGGAATAAATAACACTTCCTTATTTACTTTCTCCACATGAGTCATGATTTTATAGACCTCAATCATCTCTTTTCGAAGCTGAAAAGTCCCAGTCTTATTAATCCCTCCTCATATGGAAGCTCTTCCATATCCCTAATAATTTTTGTTGCCCTTTTTCTGAACCTTTTCCAATTCCAATATAGGTTTTTAAAATTTAATTATATTATGGTCACTATTACCAAGCGGCCCAGATATTCACCTCTTGGACCAGATCCTATGCTCCGCTTAGGACTAAATCAAGAATTGCCTCTCCTCTTTTGGATTCCAGGACTAGCTGCTGCAAGAAGCAGTCATTTAAGGTGACAAGAAACTGTATCTCTGCATCCCATCCTGAGGTGACATGTACCCAGTTGTCATAAACATACAGCTAAAGGTAGCATAAAATCCCTCCTTTACCTGTAAAAGGTTAAGAAGCTCAAATAACCTGGTTGGCGCCTGACCAAAAGGACCAATGAGGGGAGAAGATGCTTTCAAATCTGTGGGGGAAGGTTTTTGTTTGGTCTCTCTTTGTTGTTCTCTCCGTGTCAGTGAGGAAACAGGGCAGGGAAAATACATCTCCTAAAGCCATACCTGAACTAAGCATCTAGGATTACAAATATGAAGTAATATGAAGGAAATGCGTTAGATTGTCTGTCTTTTATTTTAGCTTGTGAATTTTCCCTGTGTTAAGAGGGAGGTTTATTCCTGTTTTTTTGTAACTTTAAAGTTTTGTCTAGAGGGGAATCCTCTGTTATAAATCTTATGACCCTGTAAAATTACCTTTCATCCTGATTTTACAGAGGTGCTTCTTTTACTTTTTTCTTTATTATAAAGTTTTGTTTTTAAGAATCTGCTTGGGTTTTTAGTCTCCTAAAACCCCAAGGGTCTGGTCTGTGCTCACTTTGGTTACCTATTCGGTTACCTCAAGCCTCCCTAGGAAAGGGGTGAAGAGGATTGGGGGGCATGTTTTGGGGAAGCAGGAACTCCAAGTGGTCCTTTTCCTGAATCTTTGTCTAACTCACTTGGTGGTGGCAGCATACCGTCCAGGGGCAAGGAAGAATTTGTGCCTTGTGGAAGTTTTTAACCTAAACTTGTGGAATATAAGATATGGGGGTCTTTCATGCGGGTCCCCACATCTGTACCCCAGAGTTCAGAGTGGGGAGGGAAACCTGACGCCAGTCAATATGGAGGTAGTTGAAATCCCTGATTGAGTTTATTTTTATAGTCTCTCTAATCTTCCTGATCATTTCAGTCACTATCACCATCCTGGTCGTGTGGTCAGTAATATATCCCTACTGCTATATTCTTATTTTTCAAGCATGGAATTACTATCCATAGAGATTCTATGATACAGTTTGGTTCATTTTAAGATTTTTACTTCATTTTATTCTATGCTTTCTTTCACATATAGTGCCACTCCCCCACCAGCACAACCTGTTCTGTCCTTCCGATATATTTTGTACACTGGTATTACTGTGTCCCATGGATTATCCTCATTCCACCAAGTTTCTGCGATGCCTGTTGATGTAGACATTGTGTTACCCAATAACACTCCAGCAGCAGTCCCACAATGTTCCTCCCTCCTCTTTAATGCTGTTCCATAAATTTTATTAAGGTTTTAATGTATTTACTTTTCACTTGCACAAAATTGTTTTGAAGGGTTTTTTTTTTAACTCAATAAAACAGTATTGTTTGGAAAATAATTCATGTTTATTAGTTCCCAACATATACTGCAGAATGCTTGGCAATAGTGAAAGCAACCGCTTATTTGTTGTTGAACACTGACACAACTCATAGGATCAGTCACAAAGTGTAATAATCCTAAATCTACAGCAAGCACCATAAAATGAATAGGTGCATTGTCCGTGTTATATTCATTGGAGCTTGGTACACATTTTACAATTCCTAACAGGCCCCCAAACTTCAGGGCCAAGTAGAGCACAGTCCACTACAATGCTGTGTATTATGGTTCACTGTCAGAGTGCTCTCTCAAAGCCCCCCCGTGCTGTATAGCTCTGCATTGATGTCTTCTGATAACCCTTATATTTGGCTGTTTAAACTCAGCAGACAACTGCTCCACCTTTCATCTTGGTGGCTACTTTTTCCCCTTTGCTTCACAGATATGCAGGACACAACTGGCTGCTACTACCATTGGAATAGTTTCTCACTGAGATCCAGTCTTGTTAGTTAAATTCACCAGTGCCCTTTTATCTACCAAAAGCACATTCAGCTGTCGTTTTGCACCTGCTGAGTTGGTAGTTGACTCCTTGGTGCTCTCGAAGTGGCTGGTGTATGTTTTGATGAGCCAGGAGAGTAAGGGATGGTCTTGGTTCCTCAGGATCACAACTGGCATTTCAACTTCAGTAATGGTAATCTACTGGTCAGGAAAAAAACATCCCTGCTTGCAGCTTTCTGAAGAGTCCTGTGTTCTTAAAGATGCGGAAGTCTTGCGCCTTCCTTTACCAGCCCACAATCATGTTGGGGAAGCATCCCTGATGATCCACCAGCACTTGAATAACTATAGAAAAATAGCCCTTTCTGTTGATGGACTCAGTGGCAAGTTGGCCTGGTGCCAAAATTGGGATGTGTCTACTGTCTATCGCCTCACTGCAGTTTGGGAACCCTATCTCTGCAGAGCCATCCACTATATCCTGCATGTTGCCAAGAGTTGTAGTCCTGCATAGCAGGTGATGATTGATAGATTAATGGCCCTGCACGCTTGCATCACAGTGGCCCCCACAGTGAATTTTCCAATTCCAAAATTATTTCCTGCTGACTGGTAGCAATCCAGCACTGCAAGTTTCCACAGTGCGATTGCCATTTGCTTCTCCACTCTTAGTGCAGCTCTCATTCTGGTGTCCCTACACTGGAAAGCTGTGGTGAGCTTGGCACACAGATCCAGGAATGTGGACTTATCCATCCAAAGGTTCTGCAGCCACTGTTCGTCGTCCCAGGCCCATGTTACAATGCAATCCCATCAGTCAGTGCTCATTTCTCAGGCCCAGAAGCGGCACTCCACCATTTGCAGCTGCTCTTTGAATGCCAACAACTTTGAGTTGTTCCTCGTTATGTGCCACAGCAATCTGCCCACCAGCAAATTGTCACTTTTTTTCCTGCGGCTCTTCTTGCAGCCCTGCCAATACTGGAGGATGATATGCCCTGTGCTTGCAACACTCACGACGATGGTTTAGAATTGTGCGGGCTCCATGCTTCTGTCAGAGATGGTGAACAGTAACAAGCCCGGCATTGGTTGGTGGGATTTTCAACATAGGTCTGAAAATTATGGGATAGAGAAGGTTGCATGGTGGGAACTTGAGCTCCCAGTCACTCCTGTGTGACTCATTCCTGCCCACTGTGCGTTGCCAAAATTTCCCAAAAGCCAGTGCACTGGACAGTGGTGATACCTAGGATACATCAATGGGATACCTACCCATGGTGCACTCCTGAGGAGTATGTGAAGTGGCAATAGAAGGAGCCAAGTATGCATGGGAACAAGCGATCTGCTAACTGCGGTGATATTAGTCCGTTGTAACTTGCATCGGCAAAACTTTGTAGTGTAGACATGCCCTGGTTAGGGCTTATGCTGAGGCCAGTACTAAACTGAGTCTTGCTTAGCTAGTACAAAGCTTGAGAATTCCCTTGAATGTGTTTTGCTGTTGACAACTGTGGATTCTGCTCTTTCATGCTTCGGTGCTCACAATTCTACCGGGCAGGGAGGAGGTCAGGTGGAGAGGAACAAAACTATCAAATGTAAGAAGTATTGCCCTCTTTTCAGTATTGTAGATGTGCCAGATGATTGCTACCTTTTTTCCCACTACAGGTTGGGTGTTGACACAGACATCTTCAAATTAACTGTTAGGGATATTTTGACTTAAATAATCTTCAGTGCTTTTCCAGTATAAAATTCTTAGCTATAACCTCATGTTGAAGTATTCTCTTCCTATAATTCTTCAGAATCATATTGCCTAGTTGATAAGTTTTGTTTCATGTTCTAGTTGGTTAAAGTGTAATGCTAGAATTTATTTGAAGTCAATATTATAATGCATTTTGAAGCTTTTCCTTCAAGTAGGTTGATCCTGAAGAGAGCGGGGTGGTTGAGAGAAAATTCTGTAATGCTGTTAGAAGTCATCTGAAAGTTATTTGTGTGGTGTGCAAACCTTGTATTTGCTTTAAGATTTCAAAGACTCTATCTCTAGGACAACTAAATTATCAGTGTGTGTTGTGATATTCTTTCTTATTTTTGCTTTGAGGAAAGTACTGACCATGATTTCAAAAGCTTTGTTTGAGATGGTGCGGGCAAGTCTGGGGAATGCTGTACATAACTTACTTTCTAAAATTATTTTTAACAGCTTGCTTTTACACGAGATGGACTCTGTGGCTTGTGGAATGAAATGGTGAAAGATGGTGAAATTGTATACACTGGAACAGAATTAGCACAAAGTGGTGAACTACCTCTAAGAAAAGGTAAGATTTTTTCCCCCCCCGCTTTTTTTAAATTTCATCCTGATGTGACCTAAGCACTGATTTTGTAATATTACAAACCCTCAGTTCTTAATCAAATGTAACTAATTTCCCTTTATACTGTTAGTGCTCTTGAATAAATAGGAAGGAGCTACTTACTAGGATTTATAGGCTACTGCTTCCTCCAATCTGTTCCATTGCTTTTTTTGGCCTTTTAGGAATGCGGCTGTTCTCTGTTGGCCTCAGAGGAGACCTTAACTTTCAGAAATGATGACTTATTATATTATAGTGTTTTAAAAAAACCTCATCCTCAGGGTGCAGGGCAGACGCAATGTGTGTGGGGTTACTCCTCCTTCGCCCTCGCCCCGGCGCAGGGCAGAGGCTGGCTGCTGTTGAGACTTGCCACCAACTTCTCCTCTCCACACAAGTCTGGGCTCGACAAAACCACCATGGAGTTTCTCCTGGGCAGGCAGGGCATATGCCAGCGGGGCGCCAGACTCCCTCGCCATGCTGCAGAGTGGATGGTGCTTACACCTGCTCTGGGCAGCATCCACAGTGCCTCTCCCCCACGCACCTCCCCTATCTCTAGCCCTCAGTGCCCAGTATCTGCCCCCTTCCCTGCACACAGCTGGCTCCTGCCCCCTCCACCAGTGCACTTTCGTGCTGTAAAGGATTACATATTGCTCATGTTTGTCAATACATGTACTTTTTGTATTAAAATAATTCATATCTGAAACTTCTGGAATATACAGCTTTGAAAATTTTTGAAATCACTCTGTTTTCATTGCTGGAAAACACTGCCCATATCTATAATGTCTGGTTTCACTTCCTGCACCAGCGGTTCAAGTTCCTCCATTTTGTTAAGGGAATAATGTCTGCTTATTATTTAAAGAAGTTATCCAGACACTTGAGTTTAAACACATTGGATTAGATAAAACAATAAAACAAGTTTATTAGCTACAAAGATTTTAAGTGAGTATGAGTGAAGAGGCATTAAAGTCAGAAATGGTTACAAGAAAAATAAAGATAAAATGTTTACCAGTGTCGTCTTAAGAAACTATCTTAGTTGCAAAGCAAACTTTCTCACCACATGCTCTAGCAGATTACTGACCAAATTGTCAGGTCAGGACTCCTCCCTTAGAATCCAATGGCTATTTCCTTTTGTCTTCTCAGGTGCGGAGAATGATGTGGGCAGTGGGAGAGAGGGATGTCTTGGGGTGTTTGCTACTGCTTTTTATAGTTTGTCTTCCTCTTGAAAACATTTCCAGCTGGGAGGAAGGCAACAAGCAGTCATTGTGAAAGGAAACTCCATGTTGTTTATTTGCTAAAAAGTAGATTATTTTTTTTTTTTTGCTCCTGCCCCCTTTCTTGCCAAAGAATGGCCACTTAGCAGGTAATGGTCCATCACCCTTATTTTACATCTGGCTGAGGCATCTACTTGCCCTTTGTCTCTGAGGAACTAGTTTGGCCATTCTCCAGACTTATCTGGAAAACCTACTTTTAGTCATGATCTCTGTTTATGTTCATAACTTTACATGTAATGCTGCTATGTGCATTTTGCAATGATATTGATCGGCAAGTTGAGTTTTTAAATGAAAGGCATACCTTGTACAAACATTATTACAATAATGTGTAGGGTGTGAACGTGGGTATATTCTGTCACAATTGTAATATCCTATTATTTCTTAGACTTTCATGTCTCATGAAAAATTTATTGGATAACAAGAAATCCGGGTCAATGTATGCAGATTTTTCTGTAGTATGCGAGATAATCAGCTTTATGCTTTTTTGTCCTGTCTTTGGTACATAACGTGGGTTGCCTCTTTTCTCCATAACTTCTTGAAAGTCTGAATATAGTGTTTTTTGAAAGTAGGCTGACGACATTGCATCACCAACCGAAGGGTCAAATCCAGATGTAATCATTGCTGTGGGTGGTTCCAGAAAGGCTGTCAGATCTCAAAAATCCTTTACACAATAACTTGGTGTGGGGTGTCGATCCTTCTACTACTATTCAGACCAAGTGCATTTGATGCTGCAGTATTCTACAGGTTGGCCCAGTAGCTGGCCCAGCTGTCTGCATTGGAAAGAGATCTTGTTGATGTGTGAGGCCCCCCCTGCTCTTCTCTTGTTCACCTGACCTAGCTGTGTTAACTGTGTTCAGTGGCTCCGATGCGCTTGGATACTCAGATGGCAGTAGACAGTTGCATTGTTAGCCTGGATGGTGGGAAGCCACCTGCTTTCCTATTTGATAGCTCAACTTCTTAGAGGCTATGAAGCAAAGCTTATTCAACAGGTTCTATAGTTAGTCTACTCTTTAGTAGGATAGTAAGTTTAACTGTTCTAGTTTTAAAAAAAAAATTTTTTTCCCCCTTGTTTTCCTTGTTTGGGGTTTCTTTCTCTATTCCCAGTACCAAGATATGCCCCATTCACCAGGTTTCAAGCTGTGTTTCTTGCTCCAGATCTATGTCAGTGAGCATGCCACACAATAGCTGCCTGAAGTGCTTGGGAGAAGCACACATGAAGGACCAGTGCCAGATTTGCGGGGAGTTCAGGCCTAGGACGAAGGTGGACAGGGAGACTAGGCTGAAATTCTCATTATGGAGGCGGCACTCAAGCTACCATTGGAGCCGTTCTGGTCTGACTCGGTGCTAAATGCTGCAGTTTTAGTGAGAAGTGCCCCTCTAGCTTTAGTGGAATCCTGGCACTGTTCTCCCTCACCCATACCAAGGAAGAAATATTAAGCTGCAGAGAGGCACTGTTCAGGGGATGGTCTCCATCCTCTAAGTCTGGTAAGATGGTCGAGAAGGAGTACAGTGTACCTGAAACCTATGGACTACTGCTCCTAACCAGTGCCTAAGTCAGCACAGTCTGCTCCAGCGCCACAGGGGTCACTGAGCCTGGTGCCTGAAGCTGCACTGTCAACTTCTTCAGCAAAGCAACAAGACACCATCTCAGTGCCAGCTACCTGGAGGTGTTTGCAGTGGCAAGAAACCTGCTCTGCCTCTTGGTGCCAGTGTCGTCTTCCTGAAAGAAGTCCAATCCCTTGGCACTGGTACCATTTCTGCCAGCGATTCAACTTCCAGTACTGCAGTTGCCTGCTTCCTGGACAGATGGCTACCATGTACCATCCAAGGGGAAGCCTGCTATGATGGCATCATTCTGCCTTTTACCAGGCTTCTGGCACCGGTACTGGATCAGCCCCACCATGGTCAGAGGAAGGGGAATCCTCATCATCGGTCTTAGAGATAAGATCTTATGTAGCAGGACCTGCCAGTCTCTGCACAGATTCTCTATTTTCACCTACCACCATGAGGATGGAACCTGCCATGGGAATTTGGCCAGGATAGTGGGCCCTGCCCTATAACAGGGACCATTTTGGAATTCGTGGAGTTTTCCCTCAGCTTCCAGATCTTCCCCACACTGTGAATACTTTAGATTTAGCCCTTCTAGATGAGGGCACCATTTACTCATGGGCTCTGCACCCCTTCTCCTTTTAAAATTTATTAGTTGTTGTTAGAGAGTGGCTGCAGACTTAGGTGTACAGGTCAAAGAGGTCAGGGAGTCCTCATAGTGCCTGGCTGACATTTTACCATCAGTGGGTCCTTCCAGGGTCACTATGCCAATTAATGAGTCGATACTAGAGCTGATGAAGGCTTTATGGTAGACTACATCCTCTTTGCCTTCTACCTCTGAAAGGGCAGAAAGAAAGTACTATGTACCCTTCCAAGGGGTTGAGTAACTTTATACTCACACACCTAGTTAATTTTTTTGATTCCTTTTTCACTCTGAAGTAATTACATGAACATAACATTTTGAAAGACTTTGGTAGTAGATATATTACTCTAATTTCAAATGGTGTATGGGCAACTTAGGGCTTGTCTCCATTTACCATGGATCGATTTAGCAGGTCTAATGAAGACCACCTAAATTGATTGCAGATTGCTCTCCCCTCGACTCCAGTAGTCCACCGGAACAGAAACGTAAGGTAAGTCGACGCGAGAGTTTCTCCCATCGACCCAGCATGATGTAGACACTGCTATAAGTTGACCTAAGATACGTCAACTCTAGCTACGTTACTCACTTAGCTGGAGTTGTGTAACTTAGGTCGACTTAGCCCCGTAGTGTAGACCTGCCCTTAAGAAGGAAGAACATCAAGGCTTTTCAGGAAACCAATAAGAGTTACAGAACAGTCTAGAAGCTTAAAGGGGAAGGAGAATGGGTATTGTTACCAGTAATTGGAGAGCAGTATATGATGCTAGTGAGCCAAATCAACTGTCTATAGATGTTGGAGAAGGGTTTGCATGGAGTTGTGTGTTGTCTAGAAGATGGTCAGGATTTCTGAAATGGCTCTGTATAAAGCTGGGTACCTTTTTTTCTATCTTGTGCTGAATTTGCAAGATGGTGGTTTCTCATTTTAACTGTATTACATGTAAAACCTGCTGATCAGTATTGCAGATAATGAGTGTTTAGTGACTACCAAACATCAGTTTGTGAATTTATCTATGTCAACATAACTAGAAAAAGTGGGAGGGAATAAGTGATGAAAGCAGAATTATTCTGAAGAAAAGTATAAACACTGAGAGTTAAGTAACGAGAAGGAAGGGATTCAGGGTCATCTCAAAGTATGAGCTTCATTGAAGAACAGTCTCCATTTCTTGGCCTTTAGTTGTTTAACAGAATAAATCAGACATTTTGGGCATGTCAAAAACTTGGTTAAGGATGTTTTAACATTCTTCTATGCTAACATAGTTGCTTTCAGTGTAAAAGCCATTTTAGAAATAACTGAAGCACTTCACCATGGATTGACAGATTAGGTAAAATACTCCTCCATAGGAATTTATTTTAGTACTCCTCTTATCCTTCCCTTCTTTCCCTTCTTGTTTTAAGTGGATTTTTTTGGGGGGGGCCCTAAACGTATATTGTGAAGGAAGTTACCTCATATTTTGATCCTGGTCTCGTGTGTGTGTGTGTGTGTGTGTGTGTGTGTGTGAGTTCTTTTTGAG